TGGCGAGTCGAGTAGACTCTCTGGTAACCCGTTAGATATGGAATCTTTGGACAACAATGATGGGCTTATAATGGGATATAATGGGGATATAATGGGGATATAATGGATATAATGGGGATATAGTGATATAGGGATATAATGGGGATATAATGGATATAATCTCTTAACCAACAACAATGAAGATATAGGGATATAATTGGGATATAATGGGCTATAATAGGATTTGCCCCTCTGAGTTTGCTACCGAAAATCACCATTTTTTTAATATCCTGTCGGTAAATCATCGAACGAAATGGGCCTTTTTTTACCATCGCAACCAGTTCAATTCCCACAGTTTTTTTTTTAATTTTTCATCCTTGCCGGTGTTGGGTTGATTCTATCCCAGACTTTTTGGGAGGGAAATTTGCGGTTGAGGGACATGTTGCATTTCAGAAATTGGACCTCCGCCTTTCAAACCTGTCCAACTAGAACGATGTGGCACATAGTCATGGTAATCCCCATTCTGTGAATCCATTGATGTAATGTTTCTCTTCCAGACTTTCTTCCGAAAGCCTTGGTGGAAGGGGGTGTTCCACTTTCAAGAGCACATGGTCACATTTAGAAAAAAGGCAAAACATGGCCAGATTTTCGCCCAAGTTGGATAAGATGATTTCTCCTGGGAAATTTTTTACAGTTCGCCATGGAAAGCCATCATTTTTTCAGAGGTGAACCATCCCTTTCTATGGGTCTTTTCCCATAGCCATGTAACAAATTACCTGAGGGTACCATTGATCAGGCATCAAACACTTCTGATACGCCAAGCCGATTGGTTGAACTTGTTACCCTCCAATTCACACATCGATTTTCCCCGGGGATTCCCTCAGTTCAGGTGCAAACTGGAGATGTTTCACCAGTTTTCAGTTTGGGAAACCGGATGTTTCTACATCTATCTTAGTTTACTGGAGGGTATTGCACAGTATGCCTGGCAGATCAATAAGTGAACATTTTTTCAGGAGAGGTTCTTTCTGTAAGCGACCACTTTGCGAAACACATGTGTCCCAACAAAAATCCAAGAAACCAGGCGGTAGTAAGGTCATTTAGCATGTGCCATGGATTATTTCACGATGAAATCCCCGTTTCTTTATGCAGGTATATCCAACTATTTCTACGAGGTGAGGCCCCCCATAAGTTAGTTTTTAAACCCAATAGCTGTAGTTATATCCCCAAAGCCACTAGTTATATTCCCTATAAACCCCACTCAACCATGCTATGTGCGTCAACTTAGCTACCTCGGGTGCCTCACCTTGTATCTATTTCTAAGATAATCCAAGCGCAAATTCCTGCCGGTAATATGCGTTGCAGTAAGCCACTTAAAGATAGTTAATACGATTTTACTAGTATTTTAAGAGTGGACCTTACCTTTCCATTTTGTTTTTTTTTGGTGTTGCTATGTGCTCGCATCAGCCGCAGCAAATCGATTCTTTGTGCCATTTCTGCGCGGCTTTTGATCAGGCTGGGTATGATTCAAAGCTTGGGCTGCCCTGGCATGCACGGGGGCCCAGGGGGCCACGCGGCTGTGTGAAAGTTGCCTTTGGATGGGGATCTACTAGGCAATCAAAGATGGCTTGCTGGAACAAGGACATTTTTTGCTGGAATGTTACATCTACATATAAATATCTAAGAGCTGATATCGAATATCTAATACCTACAGATATCCATATTATGATATATACATATATAGATACTGTAGATACATAGATAGATAGAGAGAAAGATGAGTACTGTAGGTAGACAGATAGGTCCAATCCCAATCTCAACCCTAATAAACCTCTGAATCCAAATCTATCTAATACCCATAGCTATCTTCCCATACGCTGGTTTTATTGCTTTGTATTGGCTAGCATCTAGCAACTATGTGTTAGTGACCAGTAGCTATGATAACCAAGAAAACATCCACAAACATCAGTACTATAATAACATCTATGAAATAGATATGATAGAAAGCTAGGGCAGCTAGGAGTAGATTCGATTAGCTAGTTAGTCAGATAGATAGGTAGACATGTCCAATTCTAATCCAACCCAATATCTTTATCTAGAAGTATAGATGTATCATAACTTATGCCAATCATAACTGCAGATATAGTACCCGCCAAAAACATAGAAATATTGTTTGTCACCGTTTTCGGATCAGATTTTACTTTTCTATCTTCTTGGGGGCTGCTATATACTACAACATTTTATAAGATATACTGTATTATCACACGCAGTCTACAACAGTCTGTAAGTACAACTACAACTGTAGATATATCAGAACTATAGATATACTAATAGCTAATCTAATCCAAATCTAATGTCTATATCTAATATCTATCATATGCATTTATTTGCCCATATCCATTGATCCATATCCCACATCCTCTCATGGATATATCATATATATATATGATGATGACAAGATAAATACATAGAGGGAACACCATATCCAGTGTTTATCATAGCCACTATATCTAGATCTACACCTAAGATATTATTTTTTAAAGATGTTTTATGCCACACATTCTGCATATAGGGGAATATAGCTATATCATAACTACATAGATGCTAACCCCAAAAAAGAAAAACACTTGACTAGAGATATACTACAATTATATATATATATACACATAGATACTGCATACCTCTCTGCAGCTCTGTAATATCAATATCCACTAAAACCATTTTCATATACAACGATAGAAAAGTAACTATAGATCATACAACACACACACATGTATATATATATATAATATACACACCCTCTGGTAATTTAACATAGCTGTTGAAACTAGCCATAGAAATAGTTGATTTAGCCTTTAAAAGTACTGATTTTGCGTAGCTATGTAAACGTTTACCAGAGGGTATACCCTTTGGTAAACGTTTACATAACTATAGAAAGATCCACCATTTTATAGCTGGGTAAATCAACTATTTCTATGGGCCACTTATAACATAGCTATGTCAAAAATTAGCACAGGGTAGCCCGATTTTGCCTACTACCATTGGTGACATCCTTGTGCTAGGGAAAATCCCCAGAGGGTATATAACATATAGATCTGTCATAGCTACATGGCACCTCCCCAGGTGCATCTCGCCCGTGGGTGAGACACCTGTGACCTGGACTGCTCAAGTGGTGGTCATGAAGACCCTTGGAGAAGCGCAGGGCGCAGGGCCTTTTTTTGGGAAAAGCTGGGAAAAAGGTGGGGAAAACCTGGAGAAACTGCTGGAAAAAGGTAGGACATCATTTTCTTGCCTGAGAAATTTATTGGATTACGGGATGTTCTTTGCAGGAACCCCCCCAATATTTCATGGTAAAAACACCATGGTTACCGTTTTTTTGATTTTTCCCAACAAAACCAATACAATGAGAAATGGGGGAAGATCCACATTTTTTGTTTTTGGGAAAATGTGAAACATCAACTGTTTGGATCAAAGACATTTGAGCGTGTCAAATTTTTCAGAGGAACATGTGGAGAAATTCAATTTTGTTGGGGAAAATCTGCGAAGATACTTCTTATTTTTTGTGAAAGATGGGGAAATTTGCATAGTTTGCCTTGATCTATGCCTAGTGAAATTCCCAGTGGTATGGCCGGAACTTCGGACATTTCTCTGGTTGGTGGTGACTGGAACCATGGAATTTTATGACTTCCCATTCAGTTGGGAATTTCATCATCCCAACTGACGAACACTCCATCATTTTTCAGAGGGGTAGGTTGAAACCACCAAGCAGATATATTGGATTATCTTCATTTACCAATTCACCACATGTAAATTTCGGATATGCCCATGACATATCCCCAAGCAGTTCTAGATGTGGTGGAATTCAGAACATTCACAGGAAGCCACCATGGATTCAAGGCGCCATGAATTCCCACCAAACTCTGGAGGATCATACCAGTACCTGGAGGAAGTAGGGTCACAGGATGGTGCCCCGTTCGTGAGCTGTGAAAACGCGACAAGTTGACGGTTAGCTAACTTGGTAGACATTCGATTGGGTTTATGGTAGATATATCATGATATATCTATATTTACTATGGCAAATCAGCATTTTTCAGTTCGGTGAAATCAACGATTTCGACTGGGCCATTTTCTATACGAAAAAAACGATGGCTTTTGTTCACCAAAACCACATCACTTGGGGGGCACCATCCCAGTTATCCACGGGATCATCCAAGATGCGACACACCCAGGGCCTGCAACGACACTGCGGACACGTCGCTCAGTTGCAGCCGAACTTCACTGGGGATCAATCAATGGGATCCCATAGCCATGGTATAAGTGGCCCTAATCGAAATAGATGGTTTACCGAAGTGAAAACTGGGCGGATTTTCCATGGCAAACTGTTAGTCATAACCAGAGGCTATATGGTAATTATATATCCCAGATGCGAAACATGGTGCTGGAATATGCACACCTACATTTACCCCAAAAATCACCCAAATGTAGGTAAATATTGCAGCACCATGGAGCTTCTGGGTATGGGATCTTATGGGATTTAATGGGATTTGATGGAATTTCAATGGGATGTTATTGGGCATCAATCAATCTAGGTAAATTTCATCACGACCGAACCCTGTTCTCCCGAGCCCTGGAATCATGGTTAGATTGCGGGGAATCATCCCCTTTTATGGCCGCAAGTTTCAGGTTAGTGAATTATTAATTTCAGATACCCAGATGGGATCTTATTGAAAAATGGGCGCTTATGGGATCGAATTTTCGGCTCAAATTGAAAGGATCACCGGGACCATCCCATCACGGCTATGGCCAGAGTTCGTTGGCAGTTTTGTTCGTCACTTTTTGTCACTCCATGGAATGATCCCCGCCATGACCATGAAAAAGCCACTGGTTCCTACAGGATGGTGCCCCCGTATTTTAGTGATGTGGTTTCGTTGGTTAACATTTCACCCCATGAAAACTCGTTCGTTATATATATCTACCATAAACCATAGATTTCAACCACTTTTTGTTCGGCGTTTCGGTTCACGCGAACTCGTTTACGGGGGCCCCATCCTGTAGGGCTTCTTTTCTGCAGCTGTTTTGGTCAAAAATCCATGGCGCGTTCGGCCCCACTGCGGGTGCTGTTCCATGTGGCTCCGGCGGAGCCCTATGCGCTGCGATTTCAGGTTGGGCATTGAGGTGAGCAGTGCTCAAAACCCCTGGCAGGGTCAATGAACGGGGTTTCTTAAGTATACCCTCTGGTTATGTCAACATAGCTATTGAAAATGGCCATTTATAGTGGATTTTCCCATTGAAAATGGTGATTTTCCATAGTTATGTTAGTTTACCAGAGGGTAACCATCAACAATGGGGAAACTGGGAAACTTAACCATCAACAATAGTTTTTTTTTTTTAATGGGATTCAGAACATGGGGATATGGGATTAACATTGCCATGGTATAGATGGCCCTAATCGAAATAGATGGTTTACCTGGGTTTACCGTTTCTAAAAATGGTGATTTTCCATGGTTATGTTAAATAACCAGCTGATTTGATGGGCAGAAACTAATCCTTTGGTCTTTTGGTATGGGACTATCTACGTTCACCAGCTAAGATTGTTTCATTTTTTGCAGGGTATCTGGCTGATTGGCACTGTACATCCAATATATTGGGGGTTGTATGAATCATAATTCATAATCCATGATTTAAATCCTAAGTTGGGGGTTGAACACGGACCAACTTGAAGTGATGGAATGGCATGATGAGTGGTGTTTGTTTGTTTTCCATCACGAATCAACAACATATATTTTCCTGTGCATTCACGGTTTGATGATCGTTTGTTGGGCAACTGGGACATGCAATTTCAGAGCATGGACCATTGCAGAGAGGGATGATCTAACTTTGGTTTCAAGTTTGGTTTCATGAAAGCCACTGCAGTAGATTGATGAAACACGCAGGACAATCAAACAAACCGGATATGCATGTTATGTTCACCGTGCCAGCAGTCTTTGTAGGGGAGCAAAACACTGCCTAACCTGAAGAAAATCGAAAACGGATTTCTCACTTCTAGATTCTAGATGAGTTGCTCCGATGGTACAAGGGTGAGCCAATTAAGTGAGAATTCGAGTCACATAGATACGTCCCCCTAATTCTGATATATTTTGGACTGCTCAAGTTGGTAAAGGCTGCTAAGTTGCCTGGTAAAGTTGACAATTCATTTGCATCCCCGAAATCGAACGCTTGAAATTGAAAATCACCAAACACATTGGGCCTTTAAAATTCGACCCATCCCCCATTTGCTGTTTAACATCGCAACTTTCGCCAAGTCTTATGGGTGAAAAACCATAGCCTGATAGGTGAACAACCCATAGTTTTGGTTCTTTATGTTGTTTCCTCAATTTTTTGGAACGTTTTTTGATGACGTCCCGATTCTTGATGGTTTTTGGATGTTCTCTGCATTTCTTCCCAGTGCCAAAAATTCCCCATTCCCCCCCACCACCGATTGCGGCATGGCTCAGGAACGATTGCATCGCATCCTGCCAGCTGATGCGGAGCTGCAGCTGGGCTTGACACTGTCGGAGTTCAGTCCCAAGTTCGTGCAGTCTGCGGAGGCGGAAGAGAGGACTCAGAATTGATGGTGGGATACAAGGAACTAGTGAACGGATGGGGATTTTATCATGGGTTAATGGTGGTTTAATGGGGTTTAACCAACAAAATGGTGATTTTAATGGGATGTACCCTCTGGTAAACTAACAGTTTGCTATTGAAAATGGCCATAGAAATAGTGAGTTTTCCCATTCATAGCATGGTGATTTTCCCATCAGTTACGTGAACGTTTACCAGAGGGTAGTGAATGGATGGGGATTTCTTGACGTGCGTTCTGAGTTGTTCAAGTTGGTTAATCACTGTGGATGGAGAAATCCGAAGCACCAGTTAAAAACGGTGGTTTTTACATCCCATTATTTTGTTTGGCTTTCTACCATCCTGTTGGTGGTGCATCCACAGAAACGTGAATGGATCTATGGGGATTTCTGAGGGCATCAATAGGGGGACGACTAACATGACGCCTGACCATCAACAGGGATGTTGCATGATTCGACAGGTCAATCTCTGAGATGGGTAGAAACTAATCCAAAATAGTCTTTTGGTATGGGCCGGGATTATATACGTTCACCAGATAAGTTTTTTTTTTTTTTCGGGGGGCAGGGTATCTAAGATTGGCACTGTAATTTTTGCAACCCCCCCAACAAAGATAGATAACAGAGAAATATATGATATATAAACATAATCTGATGTTTATCAAGTTGAATCTCAGAACTTCTTGGGAATAATGATTCGGATAAAACTAGTCACTAGGGCGTGCTATGCTCATGGAATATTAATTGGGATTTCAATGGGATGTGGATATGGCCAAAAAAAATGAATTTGGGTGATAGCAACGCGGGACATTCTACTTTCCGGGAACCACCAGGCGCAAGCTATGGCAATGGATGGGTTGTAGCCTGGGATGAGAATGGGATGGCTGGTCGCCGAACACTTCCGTGGCTCAAGAGTCCCCAAACTAAATTCAGAGGTTTCTAGCTGGGAAAATTATCTATGAATGATGGGTTTTGGTGGGTTGGTGGGTTATGAAAATTGGGTATACCGGTATACCCCTATAAATGGGATGATGCATTTCAATATGCCCCCCTGTCATGGTTCATTGATGGATTACTCTTGGGTTTACGCCATTGATTGTCACAACATTACCTGCAAGGTGGTGCCCCAGTGAGCTGTGAAAACGCTAAGTTGGTGAGTTCATAACTCCAATTTCACGATGGTTTATGGTAGATATATCTATACTATTCTATACTATTCCTATAGTTTATAAACCAACGAAACCACATCACTGGGGGGCACCACCTTGTGGCTTAGTGTTACCCTCTGGCCATCAAACTTGGATGGAAATTCCGTGAAAATCGCCGGGAAAATCATCGAAGTCAATGGGAACACATCCAGCAAACCATGTTCGATTTTTGGTTTGTGAATGATATTGTGATTTAGCCAGTTTTTTTGCAGTCAGAAATGACAGAAACTGGGGATTTTCCCTGGCACAAGGATGTCACCAATGGTAGTAGGCAAAACTGGGCTACCCTGTGCTAATTTTTGACATAGCTATTGAAAATGGCACAGTCGAAATAGTGGATTTACCCAGCTAGAAAATGGTGATTTTCCATAGTTATGTAAACGTTTGCCAGAGGGTAATTTGAAAATCAAAATTAGATGAGTATGCTGCTGTTTATGATTATTCGCATCATTTATTACTATTGTTACCTTTATTGTGGTCATTACTAGTGTTGTGATATTATAATTGTTATTCTCTAGGATTGTGATTCATGATGTACTCACATTTTGCGGCCAGTGATATTTATTTTTCGTTAAATTCGCTAGATGAGGATGTGGCTATTTGTATGTTTCATCATTTTTACCTTTACTTCATTATGCATATGTATATGTGTATATATTTATCATATTAGTATCGTCATATTTTTCTGTTTAGCATTATCATCAAGATTACTAGTACTCCTATAATTGATGTGCAGGTAATAATATTGTCACTATTGCAATTAGTGTCCAGCCAAGGATGCGAACTGTGACGCGAGTTCAACTTAGTGGATATGTGCGACGTGTCTCATTATATATAGTGTATTATATATATATATTGTGTATATACAATATAAACATGTATTTGTCCATGAACGCACACACACACACATATATATATATATATATGTATATAAATATGCATAAACAATCTAGGAGCAAGTTGGCTGGATCTAAAATGGTGGAATTCTGAGCTACAGCTGGTGATTGATATTGGTCATCAGCAGGATCTACCCTCTGGTAAACTAACATAGCTATTGAAAATGGCCATTTATAGTGGATTTTCCCATAAAAAATGGTGGATCTTCCCATAGTTAGGTTAATTTACCAGAGGGTATCCCATAGGCCTGCTATATTTGTTGCGTTTTCAAAGTCAGCCGTAGAGGTGCTGCTACTGTCGCCCTACATTGGCGGAGACACGGTGAAGAAACTCGGAAGAAAAAGCACTGGTGATTTTTTTTGAGCTATGCAACCACCTGCCAGAGGCTACCCTTCAAAATATGGCTGGTTGGTGGTTTGGAACAAGCCGTGGGCTCTACACCTACCAGCAGGTGCGGCCGTGCCCTGCTGATCGTAGAGCGTTTCGTTCACCGTGTTGTGCCATGGATCGTCATGGATCTTGCTGAAGTTGACGCTGGAGGTAGCTCTCTGATGTGGTCATGGTGGTCGTTGATCCTGTGCATGTGCGCCACTTGGTCCTCTGTCCGTGGTGGGACTGGTCTGGTGCGTACTGGCCTCTTGGATGGAGCTCCTGAAGTGCTCACTCGGTTGGATGTTGTCCTGGTGCAGCAAGTCTCTATTCCGTTGCTGAAGGTGGATGATGGTGCTAAGGTGTTGGTTCACTCACTGCATACCTGGGAGGACTTTCTCAAACTGGTCGATGCTTGCTACGGGTTTGATGGTCCTGCACATGGGGCCTATGCCGTTGGTGTGCAAACAATGGTAGCTGTCGACTCTAGTGCCCGTATGGTGACCTTACACAAGGTTCATGGAGGATGTGAGTATGTGATCTGTGATGCTGGCTGTCCCCAGGTGATCGCTGGAGTGTGGTCCACGTGTAATCATGCTGCGGTGAAGAGTGCGGGATTTTCATGTCAGCTGTTTTCCCAGTTGGGTGATCGGAAAGGAGGGGCAGACCCTTGTGCTGTGTCCCTTCCTTACAACCTTAGCGCTGCACCGTCTCTGTGTGTTCTTGGTTTGGTGCTTTCATGCGCTGTCCCTGCATGCGGAGATCTGTTCATCTCGCAACACCTTGATAGGTTTGTTGACTGGTCTGGAGTTGTGAAGGAGAACATCAACCTTGAGCTCTCTGCTATTGGTCAAGTGCAACCGTTGATGCAGAACCATACACAGATTGACGGGCAGTTTCTGGAGTTCACCCACCGTCAGTCTCAACAAGTTTCGAATCTACAGGCCCTGATGCAGGCCCCGCCTCAACACTTTTACGGCCAAAGTAAGACCCAGTATCAGTGCATCCAGGCTCTGTTTGAGAATCAGCTTTCTCATATACGTGGCTTGTTGCGGAAGCGACTGAGAGATGATGGTGAATGTGGGGGTGGGCCTGAACTGCATGGTTCTCACATTGGTATGATGATGATGGGGTCTTGTTGTGCCGTGTGGGTTCTTGCTGCTCTGATGCCCTTCTACCAGTTTTTGGGGTTTGTGTCAACTGCTGTTTGCGCCGGGGCCGGCCACAGTGTCAGGTCTTGGGTGTTTACGCTGTTGCCCTTTTTCAATGTTCGTTGGCTTGGAGAGACATCCTCTCCTGGTCCGGTTAAGTTCAGTTTCACTCCATTCAGACGGCAGTCCCGGGCCCTTGACCGGCTGCCCGTCCCCTTGGCCGCGTTGCCACACTGACCGTAGAGTCGCCACAGTTAAAGCACTGTCTTCTCACCCCAAGACAGTGCGCCACACAAAGCGGTACAAAGTGGTGGTTTGGAACATGGCTTTTATGACTTTCCATTCAGTTGGGAATGTCATCATCCCAACTGACGAAATCATATTTTTCAGAGGGGTAGGTATACCACCAACCAGATGGGGATTTCATCAAGTAAAGGAAGCTTACTGTCAAAAAACGGGGGACATATCAACATATGAGGATTTTTCAGCATGAAGAAGTGGGGGGAAACCCCCAGGTGGTTCCGCAGAGGATGTTCATCCAATTCATCAAAATAAGCATCCCGATCTCTGGTTTATCTTTTTGAGATTTTCTGATACCATCTGATTTTCAAAATAACATGGCTCTATGGAACATCCCAACCATAAATCGAGCTTTCGTTCGCTGGGAACATCATCTATTTCGATTAGGGCCATCTATACCATGGCGAGGTGGCTTCCCGGAGCGCCCACGAAATTGACCTCGACTCTACGGGGTTTTCTCCATCGAAGTTGTGCATGTCGTGGACCATCCCTACTAGTACTACCATTGGGACCATCCTTGGGGAGTTGTGATGAGTGAGAACGCATGGGCCTTGGGTTTTATTGATCCGAATGCAGCGTCAGAGTGTGGTAAGCTTTTCATGCCCAGAGTTGTCACCATCCCCTAATTTGAGGCAACCATGATATTGAATATCACCTGTTCTTTGGGATGATAAAAAATGACCCCCAGTCATAGTTAGTTCATGGGATGATTGTCAAAACCCACATCCGAAAAATTACTTTCGGTAATGTGGTCAACCAAAGAATCAACCATCCTATTCACCAACCATAACTGGGGGTCATTTTATACACATCCTCCCAGTTCTGGGGGTATACCCTCTGGTAAACTAGCATAGCTATGGAAAATCACAATTTTTAATGGGAAAATCTACTATTAATGGCCATTTTCAATAGCTACGTTAAATTACCAGAGGGTAGCCAATTTCACAAAGCTCAAACTTATTTGGGAATGGTGACTATGGCATTGGGTTTACCACATTAACCCAGGTAGTGGTACGATAAAAGACATGTTGCATAAACATCCCGTCGCGCCGTTTTCCGTACGTGCGTTTTGCACAATTTCATCATCATCAGGTCCACTTAAAGTTCATTTCGTGTGGGAGGCATTAAGCGTTTTTTGTTCAGCATGCACAAAATGATGTGGAAATTGGCTGGTGTTTTTGGAAAAAGTCATATTTCGCTTGTGTTTTCATGCAATTTTGACCGAGAATTATGTGAAATTTAACATCGTTTGGAATAGGCTCTGCTCGCATAATATGTGTCATCGCATCAAAATAGGAAAGAGAAAACGTGGCCTGCGTGGCATATTCATCATCATTTTTGTCCAAAATTTGTGGAAATCAGTACGCATTTAGAGTGGTTTTACTTTTTTTTCCTTCTCGCTGTGGTGCCGTACATGTATTTCTTCAAAGTGCTGTTTTCCCAATGACAGCCATCACAACACAGTCTGCGCACTTTGTTTTCTTCTTCACTTTCGCAGCAAGTTGAGCTGGTTGATGGTCTTCGTGCGAATCAGAGTGAGGCGATTGACATACCTCCACTGGAACGCGCGCAAGTAAACCTCAATCAATTCTGATTGGCTTCCCAGCTGTTTTGGAATGAATGCTTTGCACCCAGTCCACACTTGGTCAATTGTTCCGGTATGTACTTGAATGACTTGGTCAGTATGTGCAGAGACGTTCACAGACGTGTGCTAGTGTAGCATCCAATGCGTGCCAGCAAGTACGTGAGACGGTGCTAGCGTAGCATGCCGTCATAGAAGAAAGACGATCATCTAGAATCATCTAGAGACAGACGCCAAGAACGTTATTACACCCCCCACCCCCCCAAACCCCCCCATATGAGAAACGTCAAAAACCTGCATTTTACTAGTACGGTTTTCGGCGCGTAGGCATAAACATCCCGCTGATTTAAATTGATAAAAGATGGGAGTATCCTTATAATGATTGAACATGATTTTTTTGGCTTTGATAATGCCCTTCCAGATTCCGATATGATACAAAACAATAACGATAAACAGTATATCATGATAGACAATGTATGAAGATAAACAATAATGAAAGGCATGGTGATTTTCCATTGCAATGTTTAGACTACCAGACAGTTTCATCAGTTTCGGAGGCCCATGGCGGACGAAACCAACAATGGTTTGAGGAAGTAACACCAACCATGCTCATGGGATTTCATTGGAACATAGCTCTATAGGAACCTAATAGATATCTGGTTGGTGGTTTGGAACCATGGAATTTGATGAATTTCCATTCAGTTGGGAATGTCATCATCCCAAGTGACTTTCACGAACCATCATTGTTCAGAGAGGTAGGGCGAAAAACCACCAAGCAGATATATTGGATTATCTTCATTTACCAATTCACCACATATAAATATTGGATATTCCCATGACATATCCCGATAGCTCCATTGGATATTCAAACTACAGATATATTGGATACTGAGCACTGGGATTGGATGGTTGCTGAAGCCCCGGGGTGCCCAGAGTTATGGTGTGAGGGACACATCCAACTGTAGATGTTTACACTAGTCTAACTACAAGGTGAGGCGCCGCAGTTATAAGTTGGTTAGTTGGTTGATAAAGCCATTAACTATATATAGTTACATCCACCATAAATCCAAATGTTAACCAAATTATGTGCGTCAACTTAGCGATTCCGTTTACGAGGGCATCACCTTGTACTTAGACGAGTTGAAAGTCAACTTACTTACGCTTTGTGGCCATTCTCCAACCATTGGTGCAGACATGAGTAGCGATTTTGTGCTGCCATTGGGATCCAGACATGATCCGTTAAGACATATACATCTGTTGATCGGTTATTCAATTATTCAATGAATGCTTTGGTGACCAATTTGGTGATATCATATATTGGATCTCATATGTTGGTTGGTATTACCCTCTGGTTATGACTAACATAGCCATGGAAAATCACCATTTTTAAGTTCGGTAAACCATCTATAAATGGACCATTTTCCATGGCTATGTTAAATAACCATAGGGTAACATATATTGCATCTAATATATATATATATATTATATTGGATCTGAACCACCAATTAAAGGGGTTTATTGGGTTTTAACTATCAAAAGTATGATGATAAGATTTCTGATGGTGGATGGATGATTTTAGAGGGGACACTGCAAAAATACCTTGGGGAATTGCCACAATCGAAGAACTGAGAATTCCGTTCATACCGTCCAGGAATCAAACGTGGCTAGCTAGAAATCCCCGGAACTAAATCAATGGCCATTCCAGGATCCGATTGATTGGAGGTACCGATTCCATATTTCTGAGGCCTATTTTTCAGGCCTATTTTTCAGGGGATATACACTCAAAATATGGCCAAACATATGGCCTCAATTTTAGGATCCAAATGGAGGTGCAAATCGCTGGGACAAGTCATGGAGATCTGGGGATGTTGTTTTTTGTGATGTTGGCGCGGAGGGTAACCACCAGGAAAACCATTGAGGCTTACCCGGCCTGGTAAACGGGCTTACATAACGAACTGGAAAGATCCAGCATTTTCTAGCTGGGTAAATCCAGTCTTTCGACTGGGTCACTTTCAATAGCTATGTTAAATTGCCAGAGGGTAACCACCACGACGACGTCTAACGGCTTGTTCCGCCAGGAAAGTGGCCACTCTTCTGCCAGAGATGAGTCAACTGCGCTGGGTCCATTCCTTTACGGCAGGTGGGGCGCTTATAAAAAGCCGCGGTGGAGGTGAAGAAACTCCACTTTTCTTCGGGTTTTTATAGATGTTTATAGTATTCATAGTAGATAATAATCTTTTTCAGTGGTTCATAAGCCACATAGAAGCCAGAAATACATGATTGGGACCATGTACATGATTGGGATATATTCCAACTATCAGCCATATGTATATCTCCGGTAATCAAACATGGTAACGGAATGCAATGGAAAGTCCTTCAGTTACTTCGATTGATCCATGGGAGGCCGTCGTGTGCCCGCCGTGAATCATTGATGATATATAGTTTGTTAAGATTAATTCATAGGGCACACAATGGTTGATTCATAGGGTACACATAGTTTATTATAGTTTATTAAATTGATGATGGTTAAATCATCACTATGCCATTAGTTAAATTGATGCATAGTTTATTAAGATTTTATAATCATCAAGGATGGTTATCTTCTTAGTTAACCCAGTTGTGAAGCATAAATGATCATAAATGTACATACATGTCCAATTTATGGCACGTTTGTCCACAAGAAACTCTTCTAGCTCAGCGGAAAGGCACTTCTGCCTCGCATGTTTTAGACTGGGTGCTTGCCCCTTGGTCACACGAGGTTCCCGCGTTACCAAATCTTCCATTCTACCATTCTTGAGATTTAATGTATCCCTATTTTGCATTCTTTTGTTGGTTCTACGTCCAAATGGGTTTTCGAAGCGGGCCCTAATGATAAACTAAAAACCCTAATATAAAAACTCAAAATTTTCGGACGGACCCTAATTATAAACACCCCGGGGTTAACTAGTCTTTGTTATTAGGGGGCGAAACCCACAAATGGTAGCTTTGTTTTTGAATTGTTTTCTGAAGGGGATCAATTAAAAGTCAAATTGGCCAACCTGAAATTTTCCGTTTACTGGGAGATGGACCCTAGTCTTTAGATGTTTTTAGTATTTGGGGGACGTTTAGTACTACAGGATGGTGCCCCCCAGTTATAAGTTGGTTTATAAACCCCATTAACTATAGTTATAAGTACCATAAACCATAGTTATTAGAGTTATTGGCACCAACTTGGATGGTTAAAACCCTATAAATAATGGAACAAACTACCTATCAACTGGTGCTGGATTTCTTCCATCCACAGTAGGGGGAAAGGATTAATCTGGGTTTTTAACTTCCCAAGCTTCGCCAGTGCCAGGTGTGGACGCCTTCCTGGAGATCTTGAGATCCCACGAGGCCTCTGCGAAGGCGCCGTTGACCAACGCCAAGGGCGCCTTCAGCTGGAGCCTGGCGGAGTATGCCATGGGAGGAATGCTGTACTTCAACAAGCAGCGCCTTGGTGGTGTTGGCCTGGGGAGAATGGGGATTTCATGGGGATTTATCTTGGAGAATGGGGATTTCATGGTATTTCGTGGGGATTGGGATTGAATGTGGATGTCATGGTGATTTAATGAAGTCAACATGCAAACAGATGTGAACAAAACAAATTGTGTTTTGCCAGTTGACCAACAAAAAAAGGTCGTTTAATCGACTTTAACCATACTGATATATGTGGATATAAAACCAATAACCGGGATATTATGGGAGATTCGTGGAATATTAACGGTTTTTTAAAATCAAGAAACACTACCTTGGTTGATTGCTTTTATCATTGGTTACTGTAGTTCAATCAGCAGAAATGGAAATAGATTGACACATGATGGTTGATAGTTCATAGCTGACGGAGGAATACATGATGATACGTGGTGGTGCCGACTAGGTTCGCCACAGTGATGGAAGGGGTGATCTGCATGGGATATCTTCTTTGGGAACGTTGTAACATCTACGGAGAAAAGGATGATATTGACATTGATATGATTCGATTTACAAATCATGGCAACGGATATGATATGAGCGTATCTGGTATTTGGATGACTTTGATCATGGCCTCATGTCATTTTCCGTCACGGGAATGATGGCAAGGGAAATCATGACTGCAAATGGTCTTAGCAATTTTCAGGTTACTGTAGTTCATGATTAAAATTCAGCCAGATAGTATCGGATATATACCCTCTGGTTATTTAACATAACTATAGAACATGGCCCATTTATAAATGTTTTGCCAATATTTACCCATTAAAAAGTTGAAATATACCGACCCCTGAGCCCCACTATGTATAGCATAGGTAGTAGGTCTTATGTAGGCATGCTGTAGCTATGAGTACCAACGTAGTTCCAAGTAGATACACCTCAATGTGTACAGTTTGCACCTCATACTTAGATGCGTTAAGTATGTAGTATAGCCTTAGGTAGAAACAGATGTAACTACCATCCCTAACAACTACCTGGGTTGGGTTTAATGTTACATGCTGTTGACCCGATGGCTCAAGTGCCTTAATAGCAAAAAGGTGCTTGGTTGAATGCACAGGGTTTGGCGGATTAGTTTCCCCTTCTTTTGGGTTTCTGTTCCGACCCCCTGTTTGTCTGGTTATCAGCCGTAAGGCTTTTTTTTTTGTTCTGTTGGTTGGGGAACCTAATCCGTCAAACTTTGTTTAGGCCCTAACACTTTTCGCACTTTCACTGTTCCCGTCTTGCATGCCCTCAGAAGGGTCGGAAGAGGTCGCAGCTGATCACAGCGCGACTGAGACAACACCAGTGGGCGGATCCGAAGCGGCTGGCGAAGCAGAAGGTGTTGAGGAAAATCCTCCACTAACTGTTGACCCGGTAGCCGAGGACTCCAGAAACTGGGCCGACCTGTCTGAGGTATTGGAGGAGTCGACCGTGCCTTCTGGTGAAGCGACAGCAACTGGTCTTGTTCAGGTCAAAGAAGAGGAGTCAGAGCTTCAAGAGGCGCAATCGTTGGGTGCAGTTTTATCAGCAATAGGTCTGCCAGAGGAGGTCGCTGACGAGCCCGTCGCGACGGAGGAGAGTGCACTGGACTTTGAACAACCTTCAGATCAACCATTTTTGGAAGAACCGCTTCAAACGGACAATCCGGCCGAAGCTGCTTTCACGGACATTGATCGTGCAAAGGAGGAACAACAAGATCCAGATCACCTTTCTCCGGTACCTTCTCCTGACCAGGCCGAGTGCGAAGCTGAAACAACAGATCTTTTAGGGTTAGGCACTGAAGCGAGCCCAGTAGGAGTTGAGGCAGAAGTGGAAGCAAGGCCCACCTGCCGAAGCATCCGAAGCAGCCGTTGCATCCGAGCCCTTGGTCGCTGACACATCCGGTGTCGCGACAGAAGCCAACACTAATTGCCCCGGTGAAATAGTCCCTCCACCAACTAGTCCTAATCTTGTTGAACCCGGCACCGATCCTATCCAGGTAGGCCATTCCCCCGCAACTTCATCTAATCCCCCACGCCAAAGGGTTAGGTCAAGTAGGGGTGGTGCCACAACCAGGTGGCAAGAAGCAAAGCGAGCTTGGTGGAACGACTTCGAGGCATACCAAAATTGGCTTTATTGGAATTCGGGGGGTCATATTGCAGGCGGCTTCTGGTTAAGAAAAATATCTTACGAACACGCCGACGAAAGCCTTCGCTGGTTGATAGCTCTTCATTCAAGACTTATTGAGGAGTTCCCAACATCACAGTGTTTAGCTTTAGCCTACAATATCCTTATCCCCTACAAAGAGTGGGCTCACATCCACGGGTTGGACAGGCGTAGAGGTACTGCCCACGCACAGCAAGTGATTGATTCCGGTGAATTACCTCCAAAAAGGGTCATTAACCAACGAATCTTAGGGGCAGAGCACCCACGCGCAGAAGAGTGGGATATATATTATAGATATATAGGTCCACAGCAGCAGCCCCGGCCAAAGGGGGTTAGGCCAGCTGCCGCAACACCCGTTGCTGGCGCGGCAAGTGGTAGCACAGACACAACTCCGGTTGCCAAGCAACCCAAGGAGCCTGGGCACCCACCGCCCAACTGGCAACCCTCATTGAGGGCACCAAACCATCCGGTCCAACCGCCGCATCCGAGGGTTACTGTCTCTGTCCATCCAGTCCCACAAGCCCCAAAGTCAGATTCTCAAGGGGTCGCTGCCTCTGGGCGCGACGTAGCACCAGTCCCAGTAGCTAGCCCTGCTAGGCCACCACCTAAAGCTAGGCCCAAAGCTCCTGATTCTAGTGCCACTACCCTTGCAGATAGAGTTCGTAGTTTGCCACCTCCACCTAATAACATCGCCCCTAGTCCGCCTCCTCATAAACAACCACCTTTACCACCATTACCGCCTCCTAATACACCACCACCTGGTGATAATTTTCCACCCCCACCATCTCATCCACCGCCAACTGCACAGGAGCTCGCTGCCCGCAGTTCCCAACGTGCAGAGGCGCGAGGAGAGGCTGCTCCAGCGGATCCCAACGATCCACCGCAAGAGGAGCAGGAGTGGGTTGCGGAAGAGGCGGAGGAAGAGGAAGTTCTAGAGGAGGACGAAGTGGTTGAAGTTGAGGTTGAGGCCGAAGCTGAACCCGAATTCCCTGACTTCACAACAACAGAGCACGGCCGTGAGGTTTCCACGCGCCGTCGTAGGCCTAAAAGAATTAGGTCCAATCCGCCATTGCCTGTCAATCTAGTCCCAAGGGAAACCCGTGAACGAATTGAACTTAATCAAGAACTTTATAGAGCCCGAGCCATAACCGGTGTTTCTAGAAGACCTCTTGCTTTAAGACCCCAAGTGCACGGTTACCCCGAAATTAGAATTGACTCCGCTGGCACCTGGGCTAGGGTCGCTGATCCTCCGATCGCGTACGCGCCGCAGACTTTGCCTTTTATCATTCCTCACGCTGAGGCTCCAGAGCTTGGGGTCAACCCACACGAGCTTCCCGACTCGTTGTGGCGAGATCCTGCACTTAGATCCCATCGGACAGTTCTTGGTTCAAGTAATTTAGACCCCAATAGTGTCTATAACATTGCCACCAATAACCCCGAGACAGAATCTGAGGGCTCTGAAACCGCTGAGACTCGAACCGCCAGGTTTGTATCATCAGGTCAGGCATTTGTCGGCCAGCAAGAACCGTTTGACGCTGGCTTCGTTGAGCGCACCCCTGCCCGTCCAATTGAGTCTCCACCAAAGAGACAACGCCCTGACATAAGAACCTCTCAAATCCAACGTGATAAGCCGGCACAGCCCCGAAAAGATCCAGTTTCTGCTGCACCAACACCACCTGCAGCCCCTACAGTACCATCTTTGACTGTTCCCCCATTAAGCAGTTCTAGTAGTTCAGCTTATCCCTGGAGGCAGTCTTTGCAAAGTGCTGGAAGTGGGGTCGCTGACACAGCCCGTGTCGCGACAGAGACTGCATCAGAGCCAGCCGGCTCTCCCGTTGCACGATCCAGGTCAAAAGCACCCTCAGCCGAGACTGCGCCTGCAGTTGCTGCCAAAACCCATAGGGGAAGGGAAGTACCAATTTCAAATAAGATCTCATCTAAGTCTCGTAAAAGAGCTAGTTCCGTTCCAGTGCCAGGTCGTGCAAAGGGGGCTGCTGTCCCCGACACGCCCCAAAGGCCAGAACCTCTACCGCCAGCTCCAGAGCCTAAGAAGAATCTGCCGTGGAAACATCCACCTGTGACACTTGCCGCACCTGTGGCACCTGCCGCACCCGTGGTAATTCCCCCAAGACCTAATAGGCCAGTTCCCCCTAATCCAGCTAATCTCAAGCCCGTAAAACCTCCTCCGCCAGGAATCGAGAGGGCAAGACCTGCTGGCCAATCGTCCCGAGATCTGCCTCCGCTTGATCCCGAAGGACAGCAGCAACAGCAAGAGGAACAAAGCTCAGGCTCTGGCCTTGCACCCCACGTCCGTGGGCGGCCTTTGCCTGAACCAAACCCAGATCGGCCAGAGGGGGTCGCTGGTACTGTACCGCGACATTACCAACAGCAACCCAATTTAGTCTCTAAGGTAGTCCACGTTAGTTCATCCAACGTAGTTGTTTGTATTGACTGGCACGATACCATTGACCAAGCTCTCAACCCCATTGGTGAATTGTCTTCCCATCTAGTTGAAAAGCTTCGTACATTGACTAGGATTGCTGGTAATCAAATTGAGTTCCATATCGTTTCATACGCCGGCCAATCTAAGATAGAAAGCACTAAAGCTGGTGCTGATCACGTGATTGGCCAATTGATCGCTGAAGGTTTGCCATTTAGAGAATTGCACCTTGCCCGCTATCCTTGCGGCAGGCAGGGCAAATCATCTATCATCTCTGCACTCCAGGCACATTGTCTCGTGGACGACCGGTCCGACATTTTAAACGAGTGCAAGCAACTTGGCATCAAAACCATCCGATCAGAAGGGCGTGCCGATAAGGAGCTCTGCTGGATCGCAGAGGTAGAGGACTGGCTCCGG